CAAGTACTGAAGTTCAGGTGCAGCTCTACAAAGTTTGGACTTATCCAGCTGTGTCTGGCTTGGGCCTGGCTGCTGTGCTCAGCTCCTTCTTGCTGCTGCCTTTGAGGGTGAACCTGTTGTGCTCCTGTGGCAAGATGTTCTGCTCCTGGACTAGCTGGGTGGATCTATCCTCTACACTCTCTGCAGGTATTGCAGCTGCAGAGTTATACCCCAGACGTGTATGCCAGGCCTGATCTGTGCCTGGAGGGGGCAAGGTGAAGTAGGGGGAAGAGGAGCCTCTCCCACACACTCACCGAACCTGGGCTAAGACTGGGTTTGGGGTTTCCGGGAATGCGACAGAAATTCCTACTCCGCGGGTGTGGTGGGGGAGGTCTGCGGAGTGGTGGGGGGCATCCCAAGGGGGTGGAAGAGGGTCCGGCCCATGCTGCTCCTGGGCTGGGAGTGGTCCTGCCGGTGCAGGTAGCAGGAAGCTGTGCCACACACTCACTGCACCTGGGCTAGGACTGTCAACTAGATATTGAATAGGGCTTTTCCATCTTTAATTTCTTGATGTTTATACTCATGAAGTTGCAAAGTGTTTTAATATTTCAGGGGACTTCTGAAAAAACAGATCCAAATTAGAAATAGATTAATCACTGACAGGATAAAGAAGAAATGCTACTAATTTCATTCTATCAAGTTGAGAGAGTGCAAATTCATTCCCTCATTTAGTCAACAAATATTCCCAGTATATCCTATGTGCCAGGATTGTGAAAGTTCAGTATCCTAACTCCACGCTAAATGAAAGCCTTGGTTAAAAAGGAAGAGAAAACAAAAGAAAACAAAACAAAAAGTTAGGAGTAATGTGTACACAGTATGCTTAATTCTTTGACAGTGAAAAACATTTAAAAAGAAGGGTAGAATATGAAAGGAGAAGTGGGCTTGAGGAAAATTTCTGTCCTTATTGAGTGAAAACACTCAGTTCTTTCTGTGCTACTGCAGCTCCATATCTTCTGTGGTGAGTCCTAATGGATCTGTCCTGGAAGACACAGAGGCAGAAGCTGAGGATAATGGTCAATAGGCCCTGCTTTTCTCTCACAGTGGCAGACCCTGGGCACCTGCTCTGACATTCCTTTGTGCTAGTTCTAGATGTCATGAATCCCAGAACCTAGAATAAAGCTCATTTGCAGACAGGGGAAGAACAGACATAATTTTGCCTGGATATGCTGAGGATGTACTAACCTCTGCAATTTTTGCACCAGGGAAATTATGCTAGACTTTGGACATTAATGCAATTACTTCAGAAAGTTTATAAATTTAAACACATTAAATTTGAAAGAACACATACTACAACATGAGGTCAGTATACTTATGCATCCCCTGTCATAGGACATTCTTGGTTTGTGGACAGGAAGAGGAAAGATGTCACACCTGAAACACCTGAGCCCTCGTACACATGGAAGGGGAGGGATCAATTTGTGAAAGGTACACAGTAATTCTGTCTTTAACTTCTGGCATTATCTCTGTGGAAATTAGGTTCCTCTTTTTTTTCTGTGTGTGTGTGTGTGTGTGGCCTGGCTCAGCCTCCCCTGGGGGTGGGGATGGTGCAGCATTCAGTGCTGGGGATTGAACCATGGTCCCTGTGCTTGCCTAAGCTTACCTAAGCAGGTGATTTAGACCACTGAGCTATCTTGTTGGCCCTTTTTCCTCTTTTTTAGAAATTGCCATACTTCATTCCCAGTGAAACATCTGTAAGCATATCATCATTTCTATCCAAATAAAGATACATGAAACCCTCAAACATCTCAAAAACTTGCTTAGCTATTTACATGTACGTTTATGACATTTTCACCTAAGTTTCGTAAACACAGTATTATTAAATAGATTTTAGAGTTCAGAAAAGTAAGGCTGAATCTGCATGTTAATAGAATCTAACTCAAAGTTCATCTCACTGTAATAACTGGATTTGTAGTGGCAACTTTCCAGGAAGATAAAGCATGAAGACAAAACATTCTGGAGTTGTGTAAGTATGGGACTGAAGTACCTACATCCGCAGACTCACAACGCACTTGTGATATCAAAGTCCCTGTGTAGTCTGAAATGAAGAGATCCATTTCATTGTAAATGAATATTTCACAAATTTAATTAATAGTTTGAAAATTTTTTCTCCAGTAAAACAAACCAGGGACCAAACCACAGAGAAATATTGTGTTACAGTTCACTGGGAAAATTTTATTAATTAGAAGTCAAAATATAAACCTGACTATATACTCTAAAATTCATGTTTGTTACAGTGAAAGCCTGGGCTAACTGGGTTATAAATTCAAATAAATGAACCCTCACTCGTATCTGGAGAAAAGAAAATGAATAGGGAGAAATTATGAGGTGTGTTGCATTCAATGGTATAGAAATGGTACTGGCTTATAAAATCTGTACTGAATCACAGTGTAAATGGGATTCCTTACATGTCCATGCCAAACTTGCTGAAACCATCATTTTCCTATAAGCCTTGCAAACTGCTTGTTTGGCTTGGGTGTAGGTGGTAACAAATGTCTGTATGTCGTAAAACTAATACATACAGGACTTCTATGGCACTGTGGCTAAATACGTTCCAATTACTGAAAAAATTTTTACAGGTGAAATATAAAGAAGAAACCAAGATAAAGATTTGTCAAGTTCAGGTGCTGATAGGAATGATTATAGGAGCTCCAAATGATATAAAGGGATCTTACAACTCACAATCCAATAGTTCTCCAATTCATTGAGTTCATGTTCCCCAAATTCAAAGAATAAATTGAAAGGAACAGCAGAGGTCAAGAGTAGGAAATACTTATTGAGCAGGAGAAAGAGGGGTGCCAAATGGGTTGCCAAGGACCCCACTTTTTAGTGAAAGTGTATACAGCTTGTTACAGCTATGATCAACCTATAAGATTACAAGCACAGTAGTTTAGGTATATTCACCCAGTGGGGAAGCAGATCACATAATAAGTGCACATGGAAAGAACAAAGGAATTCTCAGGAAGAAATGAGTCTGAGGGTGTTGGTCACCCACCCAGTCACCAATGTCTATCGAGACTTTATTAGACCAGGTATTACCACTTATTTTAGGCCTGGTCCTTCTGTCTATCTTGAAGCCTGGCCACAGCTGTAATGAGTTTTCATCTCTGCACTCTCTGGAGGGTCCAGCCCTGTCTGACTGCTTCCAGAACATTTCCTTGTAATTTAGCTGTCTATAATAATAAGGCCTGAAACCTTGGTCTTTTGATTTGTACTCTAGTTTTCTTTTACTTGTTGGTGTATTGGTAAAACTTATGTATAGCATGTTTAGGGGATCTTTTTAAGGGATAAGAAAACCAGGTGACAATTTTAGCAAATCATTCCTAGATAGCAAGTCAGTTACAGCTTAACTTGAAGGAAAAAGTAATTTAGACATACTTCAACGCTGGGGTCTAATCCCAATTCCAACTAATAAACCAGTACATTTTGCTATTAGGCAGGGCCACTTAATTGTCTGGTTTCTCATGTGTGCATTTAAACGTCCGAGGCACACAGTTTCCAGAGCATTCAGCAGCTAACACGTGAGTGAACACAGATCTTGAACTGTGTAAGCAATACACACAGCTTTTACTTTAGCTCTCTAGGAATAAACAGTGCATCAGGTACAGGAAACCCACTGAAACTTGCTGCTTTTACAAAAGAACTGGGGACCAGCTCTCAGCAAAATTAGTAAAATGCTTCTAGTTTGTCCTTTCAGGGACCCCCCTTTGGCTGTTAAGGCTTAGTCCAGAAGGTCACACCTCTACCTGCGGGGCTCCCGTCTGGCGGGCCTGGGGCTAGGAGCCTTTCGGAGTCGCCCCAAGAGGAGTGCTGCGCCCCGAGAGAAGTGCTGTGGCTCTTGGGTCGGCGTTACCTCCTTCCGGGCAAACCTGGGCCACGGGACAGAAATCATTCGATAACTTAATCTCGGTAGGAGCAGAGCGCGCGGAGGCCTGGGCGCCCTGCGATAAACCGAGACATCCGGCGGAGTGGGGAGCGGACCGCAAACCCAGCGCCCACCCAGTGGCTCGCCGTAAACAGGGGCGGAGGGAGCTTGCTTCTCCCGGCCCAGGCAGCCGTGGGGCGGAGGGAGAGTCGCCGTCCTCCGAGGGGTGCAGGGCCCCGGCTGTCCTCAGCCCAAAGCAGGCGAGAAGCAGCGGCGCGCGTGACGTGGGCGGCAGGAGGGGCGGGCGAGCTGCCAGAGGAGCCCCCCTTCCGCGCGTGCTGCGCCCCCGCCTCCCCGCGTGTCCCCTCCCCCTCCCTGCTTCCCCTCCCTTCTTCCTCCTCCCCCGCCCTCCCCTCTTTCCCCTCCCCCACCCCTCCCCCGCTCGGCTCGCGGCTCTCGCGCCCGCCCGGTTGCGGCGCCCAGCAAGAGCCGCCGCGCAGCCCGTACCTTCCCGCCCCAAGCGAGCGGCGCCGCCAGCTCCAACTTCTCCCGGATCCGAGCTGAGCGGGGCGGCACGCCAGGGACACGGGTTGATTGTGTATTTTCGCCGCCTCTTTTTTAAAGAAACTTATCGGGGCGGCCGGGGCGTCGCGCCCGCACCTGGAGGCGACGCCCGGGATGGTGCTGCGGTCGCTCTGGTGGGTCGCGGCCGTGCTGGCGGAGATCGGGGCCCCAGCGGTCGGACTGGTGAGTGCGGGCCCGGCGCTGACAGCGGGGCACACGCGGTACAGCCGGCCGGCCGGGTGCCGCCGGTGCCGTGGGCCGGGAGCGGGCAGGGCGGCTCGGAGCGCCGGTCCAGGCTGACCAGGGCAGTGTGGGGAGGGCGGCGACCCCTGGCGTCGCGGCCCCGTTTAAGGCTTCATTCTAGCCTGTTTCAGTGAGGAGGCTGCTCTAATCCTGACCCAGGACGGGAGTTCTCCGAAAAGACTACGAATGCTAGCATTTCGAACACTAAATTACAATTAAAACTGCAGACGACTCCCTCCACCGAATGGCTTCTGAGTTGGCCATCGCTCCTGTCACACAGCGCCAGCGACGAGGCACAGCAGGCACTGGCCAGGCTCCTGATGAGCAGCTCCCGACAAGCTCGTGGTAGAAATAAGACGCAGGTAGTGATAAGACGAAACCCAGTAACTGTGTCTTTTTTTCACTCCCTTCTCCTTTCCAGGCTGGTCGAGAAGAAATGGTGCAAATAGGTAAGCCTCGTTCTCAGATGTCATCTTATTTTAGCTCAAAGTGGGGAATGAAGGAAGCAAAGTAAGGAGTTCTGAAATTTTTCCTATAGGTGGTTACAAAACAAAACAAAACAATGCAAAACAACAGTCCAGGAACATTTCTGTTCCCTTTCTAGAGGAGAGTCTCGTTGTCAGGCTAAGTTACAGTGATGTCAGTTTCGTCCCAGCAGCTAGACTTGTAGCCGTCTATTTTTGCCCTGTATCAGCTCTGGTGTGCACGTGGTGGGGCAGAGGATCTGGAAGGTTTGGAGATGCATAAAGCCATCTAGTTCTGTAGCATTGGTAGGAGCAGATCTGATTAGCACAGAATGCAAGTTATAAGAGTGCTATGGAGAAAAGAGGAAAAATGCAGTATAGAGAGTAGAATTTTTTCCTTTAAAATTTTACTGTTTTCAGTAAAACCCCTTCCATGACTTCTTAGTCTATCTGCTTGAGATTAACCATTGATTATGTAAGGCAGTATTAGTATCTTTTGCAAATAGTACTTAAAACCGCAGTATTGGTGTTTTGGGGATTATTATTCCCATTTTCTAGGTGAAAAGACTAAGGTTCAGAGAGTGTTTTGTAAGAGATCACTCCCAATTTCTTTTGAATACGGAGACTGCAAGTCATCTGTCAATAAGCTAGCTTATACTGAACTTTTTAATGCACACTTTATTTGAATTATTGTAAAAGATAATTATTTTTCACAGTATTTTTCTCTGTAAGTGCTGTATTTTTGTCAAGTGCTACTATAGTCATCTTTTGGGAGAAAATGTTTTATTGCTATTACTGTACAGTTACAAAACATCCACCATTTATTAAATGCTAGACACAAGGTTAATCAGTGTGTGTGCCTATGTTACCTGATTTCCACAGCATGCTCAGAGCTAGGTACTAGAGCATCTGTTGTAGGGAAGAGGACAGTGAAACCTGAGAGGTTACAGCTGTTTATGCAGCAGGTAGCAGATCTGTGCCTGTCACCTGATGGCACAAACCTGGATCCAGGCCTTGAGATGTACCAGAGAACTCATGGGATCAGGTGGTTTATGTCCTGATAAACTAAGAGTAAGTTGAAGCTGTTGAAGTCAAGCATGTACTCAATAATTCTGACCACCTTCACGAGTTAGCTTGGCACACAGTGTGCTGCTCTCCATGCTGGTGTGGTCCTGCTGGACAAGAGATAAGGCTCTTGATGCTGCTCAGCAGTAGGCATTGGCCTCATGGACCACTGGTGATGCCCATATTGCTAACTGGGGAAGGATCCAGGTTCCAAGTAGAGGTGCAGTTTCTGCTGAGTCTGTCTCACTCAGTGTCACACTGAAGTTGGGAAACCATCTGTGCATGCAGTGTGCTGTCCAGGGTATATGTTGAAATGCCGATCAAAAAGTCATTTTATTCAACTGCTTAGAGGTGCTATTTGATGAATGATAAATTAGGAGGGAATGGCTGGCTAAATAGCTCAGTAGATTAAAGCACCTGCAACCAGAGCAGGGGCCAGGGGTTTGATTCGGGCCTGCCGTGCCAGCCCCACCTCCCCAGGGTGTGCTGAGATGGCGATTGAGATTGGGTGTGGTGGCACACACCTGTAATCCCAGCACTTGGGAGGTTGTAAACAGGAGAATCACTATGAGTCTGATCTAGTAGTGAGACCTTGAACACCCTGTAGACCCTTCCTTAAAATACGAAAAGAAAAAAAAGAATAAGAGGGAACGAACAATGCTAGATTTTATTTATATTCACGGAACCACTAATTTGCTAGAGAAATTCCAGAGTTCTGCAGTTGCTGAATAATTTGATATCTGAGAAAGTGAACAATTTGTTAAGAAACTGCAATTGTTTAGAAGTTAGATTAAAAAAATCTGTCAAAATACAGTGTGAGCTTGTTGGCTCCCTTGTGATGCTTGTGAGCATGGCACCAGTGGCTGCATGGGTGAACACAGCATTAATATTGTCTTGCCTCCCTCCTGCCACCTTCCTGGCACTGTGCCAGAGAATAGTGACCATCCTCCTCTTCTCACAGGGCTTGGCAGTTTTGCTAGTTTGCTGGCATCTTGGTGCACGAACTTAATTTTCTCCATGAATCTGGTTGGAAGCTGAATTGGGTGAGAACTGAATCGAATTCCTCATGAGGTCAGCATTGAATGTAACCACTGAATTTGATTCAGTTCTTGTCCAGTTTGGTTTCTGACTAAGATTTCAGAGAGAATTAAGTTAAGAAACTGAGATGACACTTTTTTTTTTTAAATGGTATTACAAAATTTATACTCTGTTGTATCTCACTTAGGATAGCTTTTTTTTTTTTTTTTTTTTTTTTTTTTTTTTCTATAATTAGGACAGGGTTTCTGGGATCTACAGGGTCTCACTAAATAGATCGGACTTGTAGTGATTCTCCTGTTTTCAGCCTCCCAAGTGTTGAGATTACAAGCATGCTGCCATGCCCAGTCTCAATCACAGTCTTTGTGCGCCCCTGGTGGTGGGGCTGGCTTGGCAGGCCAGGGGATGGAGCCTTGGCTGCCGCGTCTGCCTAAGCAGGTGCTTTAGTCCACTGAACTATCAGGCTGGCCCTGGGTACATGTTTTTAAAATATATCTCCTGTACGTTGGCGCTGAAATAAGACTTTTGTGTAGGGTATTGCCAGTGAGATGGGCTGTGCAGGGCAAAGTTCTTGTGGGGTATCACACACTTTTTTTCCCTCAGCCAGTGGCGAGGTGGCATGTGGGGAAGTAGGATCCCCTCTAGAGAAAGTGGAAAACTAGATCTTCAACCAATTCCTACCTCTTTAGTCAGCCAGAGAGGAGCTGTGTACTTCCCTAGACTCATACTTTAATAAATATCCATGGCTCTGGGTGGCGGGAAGCTGAGAGACTAAGAGACTGATATTAATTCGTTTCCTGAGACCATTGACCTATTTCTTTGTATGTCAGGGAGTTTCTTCATTTCTGACTCAGCGCATGGCCTTAGTGAGATTCTAGGGTAATTGTGGGCTGCTGGCTGGCCTGATTGGGTTAAGAGGCTTGTGCTGTGACACATCTGGCATAGGAAATAATCATAGTTTTGTAGAAATTGGAAAATATGAAAAAGAATTCCAAGTCCTTCTGTCTCATAAAGTCACTTTTGAAACTGCCAGAGTATCTGTTGAGGAAGGGTCACCGTCATGGTTCAGAGAAAGCTGTTGAGGCAACTTCTGTGACCTGAGCTCTTCCCTTGGTGTCACTCCAGGCCACTCCTCTTCCCTGTAGCCAGAGATGATGGATAGGTGAGCTTCCTTGATTTAGCTCCCAGTCCTCACTTGCATGACCACTGTTACTGTTAAATGTGTCCAGCTTCTTAGATGAAGACATGGTGCATAGTCTGTCATCTACCATCAAGAAAGATCTCTGTGTCTGAAATACTGCTTTCTGTTGTTTTATTGCTTTCTTAACATTGTATTGAATACTTATATTCTGTTTCTGTATGTTTTCCAGACTTTTGATGATCAAATCCCCAACAAACATCTTTTAATTCACAGGCTGTGTTTTCTATGTAATAATTACTTGTTCTGTATATTTTAGTTAATTTTTCATCTCATTACCAACTCCTTTTGGACTTCACTTTAATCTCTTGCTACTGAGAAACTGTAATTTTTTTCTCAAGGTGTCCATTTCCAGCCATAATGAATATTGCTGCAGTGTTCTACCTGGGTCATTACTCATATCACAATTGACTCCTTAAGGAGTGGGCCTGCAAGTTGGTTACTGAGTAAAAACAAGTGAACAGGCTACATTTTTGACAAGTCGCTTTAGAAAATATTTGTGTGGCATCAGCTCCCTCTGGTAATATAAGAAAGTATTGATTTTAAGCTTTTAGCTAAGAATAATTATGGCTTTGTTCTTGATCTTTGAATATTACATTTTACTATTCTACAGTTTCTGAAAGATGCAGTGAATTCATTATTCTAGTCCTCAGAACTCCAGTAAATATGAACAATCACATGAATGCTTTTGTAATTTTATTAGAAGTGTAAGAAGATTCATTTACCTCATAGAAGAGAATTTGAGAATTACATATTTTTAAAAATAGCCTGGTGTGGGAAGGTTCCTAGCAGAGGGACTCTGTGCCCGCATATAATTTATCCATCCTGATTTCCCAAGTGTGCCTGCATGACTTCATCTCCAGGGCTTTGCTTGCTAAGTGGAAGATCTGGAGAGGTTCTGTGGGAAAATGTCAGTCTCCTGTTTATAAAAATGATTGCCACAAATTCATCATGCTGAACCTTCATGTGAACGGCATGAAATAATTTATTTTATTCTTGAAATGACACTTTCAGAAAGTTGTAGAAGATAACATAAGACTAAACATGAAGCATCAATCATTCTGTTCTTAAATACTAAATCACTGGTTACAGTATTTATCATGTTCAATAAAGTGTATTTTCGTATATGCACACACATAAAAAGAAAGAAATGACTGAAATAATTATAAGCTGGAATTCTCTTTCCATGTAAAAACCTTACTTTCACATGTATGGCCCGCTCCCTGATCTAAAATAAGAGAGTCTCAGCTGTACCCTCTGAGACTTTTGCTCTACCACTTCCTAGCTGATGACATTAAACTTGTCCAAGTGTCACTGTTAACAGAACCTAGACAGAAAACCATTACTGTGTAGAGTTTTGATGCTTCTTTGAGGATTCATAAAGTGCTGGTCCATGGTAAAGCAAGCTGGGTTAATAGTTGTGTGCCTCAGAACTGTTCCTTTTTTCCCCAATGAAACACTTCTATGCATGCAGAGACATTTCATTCTGATTCCTGTGTTTTAGATAGGTGGTCTTGCCACCATGAATTTTCAGGAATTTAATTTACTGTACTCTGGAACTTGTAAAACTAAAGCTATGTAGCTTACTGTGTGCTAGCACAGGGCAGGGTCTGTTTGTACGTATTACCTGCATGCCCACGTGCCTGTGTAGCATGACTTAATTCATTGGGTTATTGCAGTTCAGAGC